CCCTCTTCCTGCTCAGTTACTAATGGCAGTTTATTTCGTTGTGGTGTTATACATGCAGTAATTATATAGCATTTCTTTTTTTCATCTTTATTTAACATCAAGTTTTACTAATTTAGTTAATAAAAAGGTAATAGAGCAAAAAAGCATCTTGGGCTGGAAGAAAATATATTGACAACGCAGTTATATTAACCGTATATTTAAAAAATAATAAACAAATAGGAGAATTGCATCTTAATCAAAAGGGCTCCCGCCCCATGAAGTAATTGTGCTGCAAATTTGTCTATACATCTATACCCTATAACTCTCCCTAGATCTATTGGTCTATACTCCTATATCCCAGGGATGTACGTAAGAGATTTTAGAAAAATTAAAATCGATCTATTGGTCTATACACCTATACCCCAGGGATATGCCTAAGAGATTTTAGAAATATTGCGATTGATCTCTTGGTCTATACGCCTATACCCTAGGGATGTACGTTAGAGATGTTAGAGAGTCTTGAATTACTTTAATGAGATAAGGCGGGATATTAAAATAGATGTGGCTTGTTTAAAAGATCACCATGCCAGACAGAGCCACTTTGACGTTTGTTATACTTTGTAGAGAAAAATGGAAATATTTTTGTTTTTAAAATGTGAAATCACTTTCAACGTCCAAAGTAACGAAAGTGTTACAATCGTTTAAAAATGGATCTAGAAAATATTATATAAAAAAATTGAGGCATAGTTTCTTTCCTAATTTTTATGATCTCTTCAGTAGTTTTTTTTATTTTTTTTTTTTTTTTAGAAACATAGTAAATGCCAAAGTAAATGTCTTTGAGCAAATTGCTTTTTATCAAGTTTTTGGCGGAAAATTATAATAAAATAGGCCTTATTTTATTCTTTCCCCTAAGCCTAGTTGAGTCTAGATTTTTACTTCACTTTAGTTTCCGTTTAGGAAACGGTTGTATTTTAAATCCCAGACGTAATGTCAAATGTTAATGGTACACGATAGTGTATCAACTTTGCTCGATACCGAAATGTTGTTCAAAAACGAGAACCGTAAATTGATCCCGATCCCAGAATACAAGAGACTTTTTTTTTCTGCTCAACGATCAAGAAAACGGTATCTATACTCGATATGCGTCAGATTATCCGAGATGAAAAGATCGAGTTTTCATGAATGCAAAGCGAAGTAATGCTGTTATTAGCATGCTGTTCAAGCATGAGGATTTTTAAATATTCTGGAAAATTTCATCTCAAATTAGACGAGAAAAAGTCCTTAATTAATACAGTGTCCGTTAAATGAAAAGTACTGTAAATTAGAATAAAAACTTTAGTGCATTATTACGAATATATTATAAGTGATTAAGTAGAATTTAGTTTTGCCATTAATGATAAAATTTGTTATTAAAATCGTTTTTTTTTTCTTTCTTTTCACCCTAATTGCATATATTTATGCATAGTTATATGAACTTTGAAGATTTTCATTTCAATGTATGTTTCAATTTCTCGTTAAATCGTTGTATGTGGAATGCCTTTCTCAAATATTTTCCTATGTTAAATAAATATTTATGAATTTTCCACACACCTCAAATGCTGCTCTATTTAATAATTAACAATTCTAATAAAAAGTTGTACCATACCCTAGCTGTGCATAGAGTTCAACAACCAAAAAAAAAAAAAAAAAAAAAAAAATAAGAGAATTGCAATGTAGTTACAAGGATTAAAGCCAAAACAAATAAATATCCTTGCCAGAGAACATCTATTTATATATAGCAAAATGTTCACATTGTGTGAATTGGATTTCATTATTAATTGATATGATAATGTTGCTGCTTGTATTCTTCATCTCTATCTCTATCTCTCTCTCTCTGTCTCTCTCTCTCTCTCTGTCTGTCTCTGTCTCTCCATCTCCATCTCTCTCTCTCTCTATCTATCTCTCTCTCTCTCTATCTCTCTCTCTTTTTCTCTTTCTCTTCTCCTCTCTCTCTCTCTCTCTCTCTCTCTCTCTCTCTCTCTCTCTCTCTCTC